GGCAAGAAGAAAGACATTTCTCAAAGATATCCATAAAAAGTGTTGTTTAAAGTTTGACACCTGGGAGACACCAAACATGTGGAAGAAGGTGCTCTGGTCACATGAAACCAAAATCAAAATGTTTGGACACAATGCAACACAGCTCATCACCCTGAACACACCATCCCCACTGTCAAACACGGTGGTGGCAGCATCATGGTTTGGGCCTGCTTTTCATCAGCAGGGACAGGGAAGATGGTCAGAATTGATGGAAGATGGATGGAGCCAAATACAGGACCATTCTGGAAGAAAACCAGTTTGAGTCTGCAAGAGACCTGAGACTGGGACGGAGATTTATCTTCCAACAAGACAATGATCCAAAACATAAAGACACATCTACATGGAATGGTTCACAAATAAACGTATCCAGGTGTTGGAATGAACAAGTCAAAGTCCAGACCTGAATCCAATCCAGAATCTGTGGAAAGAGCTGAAGACTGCTGTTCACAAACGCTCTCCATCCAACCTCACTGAGCTCCAGCTGTTCTGCAGGAAGAATGGGCAGAACTTCAGTGTCTCCATGTTCAAACCTGATGGAGACAAACCCCAAGAGACTTGCAGCTGGAACTGCAACAAGAGGCGGAGCTACAAAGTATTAACGCAAGGGGGCCAATAATATTGCTCACCCCACTTTTCAGTTTTTTATTTGTTAAAAAAGTTTGACACATCCAATAAATTTCATTCCACTTCACGATTGTGTCCCACTTGTTGTTGATTCTTCACAAAAAAATTAAATGTTATATCTTTATGTTTGAAGCCTGGAATGAGGCAAAAGGTTGAAAAGTTCAAGGAGCCTAATACTTTCACAAGACACTGTATATTTTTAATAATTTAACTTTGTTAAACATAACAAAATGAAAAGGCAAAAACATATTTCCTGTGTCCAACGTGAGGAGTTTTTTTTACTGTTATCACATTCTGACCAATGAACATTCACATTATGAGGATTGTTATGGGAGAAAATTATGATTTATGGACTTCCTTGTTGTTGAAAGTATTTGAACATTTATGATTTATTATAATACAGGCACACTAGACAAACAAATTTGACCAAATCAATGTAAAATCTATAATGCATATTTCATATTTCATCAATTATTGAATTATATTTATTCAAAAATGTTTCAATCCACATAATACACAAAATATGTGTTTTTTTTCTGTTTATTATTGTATCGTGACTGTTTTCAGGAGCTCTGAAGTGTACACTGCAACGAGAAAAGCTGCACACTTTGTAATAAATTATCCAAGTTATAAAACTATGTGTTTAATCTAATGAAATGTACTATTGTTATTCATCATATATTAGATTTATTGCTGTTATTTAAAGCACAACATAAAGTTGAGTTATTTGTCTAGTTGATCATTCTTTGTTTCATGCCTATGTGTCTACATTAACTCAGAAAATTAGTGTAAGCACATTTTTTTATTTTGCATAATGTTCAAGATGCTGTAGAACATGTTCAATAAAACCAGTGTATACAAATAAAAACTACATTTTTACAAATTATTATGTATTTCAGGCAAAAACAACTCCATTGAATGCCACTTGGCTGTTAGCTTCTTATATTTCTCTAAAGCTGAGCTGAGAATCAGCTGACTTTCACAAAAAATCATAATTATTTAATGTTACGGCTTACAAAATTTCAGATTTATATGTAAGAAAAATCAGTTATGTGTAACGTTTGTAAAAGTTTTGTTAGCCGTTCCACCTCCTGAAATGTCCCGGGCAATATTTAGAGCTTAAACAGCAACTTCCTGCTCCACAGTCTGCATGTCTGTCACTAGAACTAAACACGTTTTGTTCTTGCTCTTGTTGTTTGAGTCTTATCACAGAGCACAGCTTCCCATGAGCTTTATTAATAAGAAGAAAATCACAGGTTCACAGCTTTGGAAAAGCTTTGCTGCGAGAAAAGCCTCCTATGTGCATGCGTGCTGCTGTAAAAGAATCACAAGTGTTCCTCATTTGTTGTGGCACTGTGAAAGTAATAGGCTCGTGTTAAATTGACTCCACCCCTGTCTGTTTCCTGAGCTCCAGATGAAGACGGTCTGTGTGCAGTTAGTTACTAGTTGTAGGTCCACATGGTCCTGTGCAGCTCTGGGCGCACTCGAACGCAACAGCAGCCATCATTGTTCTGCTCCGTGCTGCTTGAACCAGAGAGGAGCAAACAACAGGGTTGATTAAAGTCCATTTTATTTTTCCTCTTTAGCGTGACCATGTCATGACGAGACATTAAACATGGTGTGCGTGTGGTTGGTGCGTGGGTGGAGCTGTGGCACCAACGTGCCGTCTCTGTTTAGTCGGTCACGCAGCCAGAAGTCACTCTGGGCTTTTGTAGCAGGGTGCTCGCTTCTCTCCTTGGATACTGGCGGGGGAAACACTGTAATACATTATATGCTCATATCTTATTTTATTACATGCTGGGAGCTTTATGGTGGGGTGGGTGGTTGTGCTGGGAGGGGGGGCTCCCTCCTTTGGGTAGGGGCGATGCCGTATGTTGTTCTGTGGCACTAAAACAAACTGTTAAATGTCAGCACATAAACATGTTAACAAAATCCTTTTTTTGTCTTCCTCCCCTTTGACTTCTGCTTCTGCAGCGGCTTTTTATGAAAGTTTTCAACAAAATGAACTCCAATGATTGATGCATGTTGAGAACAGCTGTTTTTTGTTGGGGCTACGTTTTGCAGTTTTCTGTGATTATGTGAGTCTGAGAGCAAAAGTCAAACATGTTGATCCGTTTAATGTCATTTATTACACATTTCATTGCTCTAACGGTCAGCTTTCTTTCGTATCTTCCAGAAAATATTTTTCAAACACATTTAAGCAAAATGCTAGTGCATGTGCAGGCGTGTACACGTGAGATGACACTGGAGGGCTTTACCAAAATATGGCTACTTTTTCTCATGACAATAACATTTTAAAGTAAAGGCCAGTCTTTGATAATAATTTTAAAAAGTTGAAGAAATGTGTCTATATTTATTCAACTTATTTATTAAATAATGAAAAGTCCAACACTTAGATTTTTTTGAATATACAGTGACCCCTGGCTATAACGCGGTTCATCTTTCACGTCTCGCTGCTTCACAGATTTGCTTCGTGCTTTGTGTTCTGCATTCTGATTGGCTAAACCGTCTCAGTAGTTACTGTAGTTATTTGTAAAAAACGTTTTACAGTACTGTTATTTGTTAAATGCTTGGGCCTGTACAAAGGTTTTGTTCTTTGGTATGAATGTATTATGGAGTATTTCATTGTATAATAATTGTAAAAAAATCAAGGTTACTACTTCACGGATTTCGCCCATCACGGGTTCTTTTTGGAACGTAACCCCCGTGAAAAACGAGGGTTCGCTGTGTATTGTAACAAGAAATATCATTGTTTTTAATTCATTCAGCAGCTTGGTGTAAAATTGAATTAGTAGGAGAAAGGGCAGAACCAGTTTGATTGTAGTGGTTGCATGCCACTGACTTAGTGCATACAAGGTGTTTTTAGTGCCGTCACTGGACCTGATGAAAATATGTAGTATATTGTTTAAAATGCTGGTGTGCTGCACGTGGACATTTATGTCAGGTTTTTGTTTGTTTTTTGTCTGTGCAGCAGGAGAGTCCAAATCTAATAAAGCTTTTGTGATTTCAACTAGGTTTAGTCCTTCCTTACAGAACTTTTACTAATTGGCTTTTGTATGAATGTTTCTGTGCAGTGCCCTGAGATGACTTGGGCTGTGATTTGGTGCTAAATAAACGATCTAATTGAACTGAATTTTGTAGTAATGATAACACGCTTCAGTTTCTGTGGGACTTTGATGCAAAGTTTAGAAAATAAAAACCTAATTTATAATTATTTATAATTTTTGACTGAACTACAAGATTATAATCTGTTGTTGACAGGAGTGCTTGAAATTGCTTTAGTGTGAGGCAGCTGGCCTGCTTCCACCTGTGTATGGTGGAAGCAGGCCAGCTGCCTCTGCTGCTGCACACTGCAAACACAAGACACTTTTAAATACACACTCTCTTAGCCTGCCCCCTACTGTTGCCGTCTGACTGTCAAACACACATGCATGCACTTTCACGCACTCGGGGGGAAATAACCCTCTGAAATCCTCCACGGATCAACGCATTGACTGTGGAAGCTGAAAGTTGCGTCAGTGAGTCTTAGTGGGTTTTCTTCAGCCGCTCTCTGCTTGTTAAAAGCTAATGATCAGTTTGGAGATGAACGGGTCAGAGGACTTTGTGGAGCATACTGCCTCTGGTGGTTTGGTTAGGTACTGCTCATCTTCTGGTTCTTGCTCTCATTAGCATATGATCATTTTAAAATAGTAATCCTATTAATTTAGCAGATTTTGTAAAGTGCATTTTCTGTCTGTAAATAAGCCCCATTTTATTATTTTACAGGTCTTTTGTAAAGTTTGCAGCAGTGCTTTTTTTTTTTTTTGCACAGCTCCTGTTAGAGAAAATAAAAATGAAACAGCATTTAAATAGATCACATCTGGGGTTTGTCACATCTTCAGGTGTTTTTTTACCAGCCCAGCAGAATAAGTTTTGTTTGTATGTTTGTTCAGTAAATGAGTGCAGCGTGATCCACCTGACTAAGTTGACTGAAGTGAAAGCAGTGTGTTTTTGTGCAACGTGCTGAAGCAGTCTGACCTCACCCCTTCACAGTAAATCACTCCACCTCACTCACATTGTTCTGCTCTTGTAGTTCTCCCAGTGACCAGTTGGTGTCACCGTGTCCTCATTTCCTCACCAGAGAGGAGAAGGGCTTGATTTGATTCAGTGACATTTACAGTGAAGATGCTTTAGTCACTTTGTGTATTAATGCAGAAATCAAACAGATTAGCATCAGTCACATGACAACACATCTTCTGTCTACATGTTGAGTGCTGTACTTGCTTTGCAACTGTATAATACATATGGTAGCAACATATTATGACATGCATTTCTCTCTGTCTGTTTCCTGCAGCTGAAGTGAGTTAAGTGTTGGCCAGCTGAGCGCTGTCGATCCAGAGGCCTCCTACCCTTCCAGCCCCTCCCCCTCCCCTCAGCATCACCATTCTGTACCTTTCTCTTCACACCTAGAGTCTGCTCATTCCCCGAGACGCAGGTCAATTACCAACCACAATGATCACTTCGGAGCTTCCTGTCCTCCAGTAAGTGCCAAGAGATCACAGAGCAAACCTTTGGAAAGAAACAATAATAATTCAGTATAATCATCACTCTCAAAACGTGATAAATTTACTCTCCATCCCTGAAGACTTGTCCATCCTTATAGAGCAAGAGCATTGGATACTCTAAAGTCCTGTGTTGGTGTCATTCAGGGACTCCTCCAACGAGTCTGGGGCAACAGATGCCGTGGGTTTGAGTCTGAGCATGAGTGAGATGGAGGATCCAGAGCTCAAAGGAAAGAAGAAAAGAGGGAGGCCTGGAAAACAGGTGCAGGTATGAGCCGGAGAAAAGCAAAGTGGGGCTATTTTTTCACTCGTTGCCTCCACCCTGTCTGTGTTGGTCTGTGGTTTTGTGCATGTTGTTTTTGAAGGCGGGCAATAATGTATGTGTCCATATCTGTGCTCGTTTGTTTGTCTGTTAGCAGAAATATCTCATGAACCGCTGGGCAAATATATCTTAGTCAGTTTTACAATTTTAACCTTAAATTAGTGTGGTGGTATTTAGGACTGATCTCCAACTCATACTCGGAGTTCAAACAGGTCAGGTTGTGCAAAATCTTATTTTAGAATTTTGCCATTAACTATTTGGAGTCTACTCTGTTAGCAAAATATCTTATGGACCATTACATAGATTTAATAAAACTTTTAGAAATAAATTGGATGTACATCTACAACAGACAAGCTTTTTAAATCAGTCCATTTCTAGATGACCACTAAAGTCAGTCGAGCTTGGTCAGCACTATATTGACTACAACTTGGTCAGTTTTACAGCTATACTGTGAGCATGACAAGTCACGATAAGTTCGGATCAAAGTGCAACATCTACTATTGTACAACCACGAACGTGTACGTTGAAGTGAAAACAAGTTACAAGTTTTTCTGTCTTTGTGAATGACACTGAGTTCATTTGTAATTGCTGTTTCATCTCCGAAGGCGTCCAATAAGAAGCCACGGAAGTCGCCAACTGACAAAGCCATGGGTGTGGTCAGAGGGCGGGGCAAAGCAAATGGCGTGGCTCAGTATAATGGAAACAGTGGAGACCCCGTCACTCTGTTTGAAGTTGTCAAAGTGGGCAAGAGTGCAATGCAGGTGGGTGTAACTTATGTAAAAAAAATTACAATTTGTTTTTGATGTTTCTTTCAGAATTAAAACAGCTACATGTGTTGCCTCACATTCTGAGTACAGTAGTCCCTCGTTTATTGCGGGGGTTCTGTGCCCTGAAGCCCCACAATAAGTGAAAAACAGTGAAGTAGGGATACAGTAGTTCAAGTTCAAGTACAGTAAACTTTATATTGAGGCTTTAGGCACATTTCCAACACTCTTGCAATGTTCTAAACTCTTAAACCTACATCATTTTAACAACATACGTTACTAAATTTTACTTACTAGCTCTGCAGAACAGCAGTTCTGGTCCAACTCTTGTATTTGGACTCGGTTCGTTTCTACAGACCCATCCTGCTGCAATGAAGCTCACAAATCAGTCCTCTCTTAAATCTACTAATTTTAACAACAAGCTACTATATAAGTATATATAGCTACTAAATTTTACCTACCAGGCTCTGCAGAACAAGAGCGGTTCATTTCCGTCCGACCCGATAGATGAAAAAAGTCCCGGTGCAGCATGACTGAAGCCCACTGCTCCATCCAGCTTGATGTGCATGTGCTGCTGCTCCAGGAACAAGGCTGCCCAGGACTTAGTCCACCACCTCTGGCCCGGTCCGGACCAGCACTGCACGACCAGGACCTGACTGAACCCCACAGCCATTTGTCGCCTGCAACTCAGGATCTGGGTCACACTGAGTCCAGATCACCTGCAGCCCAGCCACTCAGCAGTGAAGATACACCTTGAAGGATGAGCTCATCTTCAGGATTATTTGTGACTTTCCCACCAGTCCTGTGAGCTCGTCCTTACAGAACTTCTGACCTTGCTGCAAAACTCTCCCTCCATTTACAGAAAGCAGTGGTTGAAAGAGCAGCGTTGACTTCTGGGGAATGGACTGATGACTTCTGGGTAACGTAGTTCTTTAGACTGGCAAAACGGTAAAGGCTTAATGAAAGAAAACTACAAAATGGCGACGCATTTTTAATTTAATTTATTTATTTATTTTTATTTTTGGAAAATATTATGTACGGTACACTGTATGTACACAAACCACGATAGATGGAGTGCACGAAAGTCAAACCACGAAGTAGCGAGGGACTACTGCAGCTGTAATTAATCTGGAGGGTCTAGTTTTTAAACATTTGATGCACATGGCTTGTGCACGTCTTGTGACAGTTAATTGTTTGGATTATGGGTGTTTGCAGTCTGTAGTGGATGAGTGGATCGAGTCATACAAACAAGACAGAGACTTGGCGCTGCTGGATCTGATCAATTTTTTCATCCAATGCTCCGGTTGCAAAGGTGAGACTACACAACTTGGTTTTCTGTTATATTGTTGTTCAGATATTGAAGCTGTTGTTGTCTTATAACACTTAACTGTTAACTGCTGCTGTGGCAATGAAATGTTGCTGTTGCACTTGTAGTGAAATGACTGTTTGTGTCTTGGACTAACCAATATGAATGTCTGTTTGTAAACAGGCACAGTGAGGATAGAGATGTTCAGGAACATGCAAAATGCAGAGATCATCCGTAAAATGACCGAAGAGTTTGATGAGGTAACAGGATGTTCTCATCTGTTGTTTTTCCTGCTATGTTAAGTAAGTTGTAAACCTTATTCCCTACACATCTGCAGGCTTGTTAGCTACACCCATGCACTCTATTTCTGCTATTGTTGAGCTCCAACTAGAGGAAAAAAGTTTGTCATGAACGTGGAACTTTTTTTAATGTTTAGAAAAGAATAAAACTGAAATAGCCTTGGCTCAACAGATTACAGCAGTAAAGAGACTCTTGTCATTGGTTGTAAATATGTATGTAAACCCTGCCTATGTATTTATTTACTGTAAAACAGTCTCTGTACAGTCCCTAATGTAATGCACAACTGTGACGCAGATGAAAAACATTTCCAGAGCAGATTCACTCACATGCACGTTTCAGCTGCTGTATTAACAGAAGCAGATCATCTGATGGTTCAGTTTGTGTCCACAGGACAGTGGAGATTATCCTCTCACCATGCCAGGCCCCATGTGGAAAAAGTTCCGCTACAACTTTTGCGAGTTCATTTGTGTGCTGATCCGCCAGTGTCAGTACAGCATCATCTATGACGAGTACATGATGGACACGGTGATTTCTCTCCTCACTGGCCTTTCAGACTCTCAAGTACGAGCCTTCAGGCACACGTCCACATTAGCAGGTACTTTATGGTTTGTTGGTGTTTATAAACACTAATGTAACTAAATGTTGAGGCTAGAAGTTCATTCATTGTGTCTAAGATTGTGGTTTGTCTATAAGCTTTTTGCAGCTCTTCCACATACAGTTAATAATAACATTAATAATCTAAAGCTGCTTACATTTCGTTGTCTTTAAAGCAGACAACAAACATTTCTATTACAAACGTTATGATGAGGGGTGTAAATCACCAGCTTTACCACGATACAATATTATATTGATTTGTTTGTATGACGATACGATTTTGATTCTATTCGATTCACAAGTCTGCGATCGATATATTGTGATATCAAATGTCCATCTCATTTACATATAAATACTAGGGATGGGGCCGATCCGATCCAGTATCGGTATCGGCCTCTGATACCAGCATAATTTACGTATCGGATTTTTCCGATCCACCTGCCGATATTTCTGATCCATGATGCATGTTGGCTTCAAACTATGGAATGGATTTCCTGAACGGAGGCGTGTCTCATGAACCCAGAGTAATAAGACCCACCTCACATTCAGGAAATCCAGTTCATAGTTTGCAGCACCTACAACGTGAGGACTGAGTTAGCAGCACTGTGGCTAACAGCTAACAAACTTTTCATCTGAACATGTCGCTGTGTGGAAGTATTTTACACTAAACACCACAAGACAAGACAGCAACGTGCACTGTCTGCAGAGCCATAGCGCCACATTAAACCACGGTAAAGTTAGTTTTACGATGGACATTCGAGCTCCGGGGCTTCAGTGGGGCGCTGCTCTTGCTGAACCTGTAGCAGGCAGCCCGACCCTCTGCGTCCAATCTGCCCCTCAGTCTGCCCGTCTCTGAGGAGGGACAGACTGAGTGCGGCTGCCCCAAATCAGACTGCCTGCTTCGGACTGAACAAGAAGAAGACGTCGCTGAAACCACAGAGCTCTAATGTTTACAGAGACTTCATCATAATTAATGACCAACCACTATCAGTTGTAGAAAACAAAGGATTTCACAGTTTGATACTTACAGTCAAGATCTAGTTTACCCTCCAGGAGATATTTATCAGTACAACAGTAGACAATCATAAAAAACATATGATTTGAAAATTATATTAAAAACATAAACTGCTACATTATAAAGTGATGTAAAATACTAAAAACAGGAACATGTCTGTTGGTTTATGTCATGAACTAGCAGATGTTTGAAGACATTTAACATTTTATTTAATTTAATTCATTTATTCATTAATTTCAAAGAAACAATAAAAAAATCATCAAAAAGAAAACATTGAATGAAAAGAGTTCAGAAAGAAGAAAAATCTTTTATCTGCCCCTTATTTTAAAAAATATAAAACAACTTTAAACAATCATTTAAATTAATCACTTTAATATCCACTTTAAAGCTAGGAATAAAAAAAACATGTTTTGTGTTAGAATTTAATTCTAACTTTAAATCTTATCCAACATTAATAAAACTTACCTCAAGTTGCCTTTTGGACATGCATGTATATATTTGTACAAATTGTACTTGAGAGGAGATTATTACAGCCTCATGTAAAATCATTGATGATCATGATGATATCAGAACTGGATCGGTATCGTCCGATATTCAGATTTAGGTATCGGGATCGGAAGTAAAAAAAAAGTGGATCGGTGCATCCCTAATAAATACATTTACAAAAACAATTGAAATATGATTTAACCATTTTATTTCTGTTATTACTCGCACCAGGCTTTTAAATAAAAACATTTTTTTCTTAATGAATGAAAAAATCAAAAGTATGACCTGTTCAGTACAGTCTCACATTTCTCATGTTCAAGTACATTTTTGAAACCAGTTAAATTAAAAGTGTCCTGATGACCTCTCAGGTCTCAAGAAACAAAAACAGATAGTGAGCTCACGTAACATGGCTGTCAATGTCGTGTGTGTTCTTCAGGTGAACGGACACATTTGTTGTTTCCCTCGAGTATTTGAACTCACACTGGCACCTGTTGCACACGACACACGGAGTTTTGTCTGTTGAGCCGTTCTTCTGTCAGAATCCAAAATATTTCCACAGAGTTGATTTAAATCCAGCAGGAGAGTGAATTTCATTTTCTGTGTTTTCTGCCTCGTCTGCCATGCTGCTGAGGCGGCTGCAGAGCTGCAGCTGCGCATGGAAATGGTGACACAGACGTGCCTTGGGATTTTCAAAATAAAAGTGTATTTTAAAGATGACGATATGAATGGATGTTTTAGTTTTCCACAATATAATTGAATCATTAATCATTTAATCGATATATTGATTTAAATCGATGTATTGTTATACCCCTAGTTATGTGTGTGTTCTCTTATTTTTTATAATTAATAAAATCTTATGAACTAGTGACTGATTTTATTGAAACGCTCATTGATAACTGATCAACCTTCGGAGTTAGCACAACCAGTTGTGGAGGTTATCGTCAGCACGAAGCTCCAGCAGATCCTGCAACTTTACAGAACACCTCAGCCTTGACAACGTTTAGCTAAACTGCTATAGCTGTGATTTCTCATCATGAGATACTCTTCGCTTACAACTCTGGTATGAAAACTGGCGGCTGATATGCATTCTTTTCACAAATGTGTGAACTTTGATTGTTACAGAACTTAATACATTCATTTCGTCTGTAGCGATGAAGCTGATGACGGCACTGGTTAATGTGGCGTTGAACCTCAGCATTCACCAGGACAATACCCAGAGGCAGTACGAGGCTGAGAGGAACAAGATGGTCGGCAAACGGGCCAATGAGAAGCTGGAACTGCTGCTACAGAAGAGGAAAGAGGTTGGCTGTTGTTTGATACTAAAACTAATTCATATGACGTTTTGTAGATTATGACAAAAGCAGATGTTTTTTATGGAAGAAAGGAAAAGTGCTCCATTTGATCTGTTTTCTTCCAGCTAAAAGGAAAGTAGTTATACGATGTTGCTTTCTCCTCCATCCAAAGTGGCCATTCAAATGAAAAACCAACAAAATACAAGTTAGAGTTGATCAGTTGGTCATTAGAAGCTTTAGTTAAGTATTTTCTGTAACTGATTTCCTGAACAGCTCCAGGAGAACCAAGATGAAATAGAGAACATGATGAACTCCATCTTCAAGGGCATCTTTGTGCATCGCTACAGGTAAAGTTTCTTATTGATCTGTTCAAACAAAGAAAACTTTACATGACTTTGTCTTTATTGCATTTTTAGGGATGCTATTGCTGAGATCCGAGCTATCTGCATTGAGGAGATTGGAGTGTGGATGAAGATGTACAGCGATGCCTTTCTTAACGATAGTTACCTGAAATATGTTGGATGGACACTCCATGACAGGGTACGTTGTGTCATACAACTACTGCTTATTATCTTGGAACATTAATAAACTCAGCATTTGTTTATATTTGAGAGTTGTTTGCGTAAGCCACTATTTCACTGGGTTGGAGGTTAGTCTGAGTGAGGATGCCGTCAACATGACTTGAAACGTATGCAGGGGTTCTCAGTTTCTGCGTTTCCATTCAATTCAGTTTATTTCTGTAGCTCCAAGTCACAACAGAAGTTGCCTCAGGGCACTGAACAGAAGCAGTCACATACGTTATAAATGCCAGTTAGTATCAGAGATGATGATGCAGAGGCTCGCAGTCTTGTTGCTTGAATTTTGAATGTGTTCCAAACATTTGTGCTCCAGATCAGAACAGCTGCAGATTGTCGGGCTGTTTCTTAATTTACTCTGTATAATCCTTGGGCACCAGAGTTTGGACTTGTTGGGCCAGCTTCCAAGCTGGGTACAATGTGGGCAGCGAAAGAATGTTGTGCAATACTTTTACAAGCCATGCAAAGAAAAATACTGTAGGTTGTGATTTTCAAGGAATAGTCACACAAAACCTTCTTACTGGTTGCAAACGCTCAGAATTCACTGAGAGCTGAGAATTTGACAACTTTCTCGCAATTTTGCGTCACAACTACTCCAGTAGTCCCAGCTCAGAGATGCTACATTAAGATTGAACTGTCTCATTTTTCAGCAAGGAGAAGTGCGTCTGAAATGTCTGAAGGCTCTGCAGAACCTCTACACAAATAGAGAACTGTTCCCCAAGCTAGAGCTCTTCACTAACCGCTTCAAGGTAATGCAACAAAAAGAATCACAACCACTTTGTGGTCTCATTTCTGTATGTTTGTTCAACTTTTTGCAAGTTTAAGTTTAATTGTTGACTGTTTTTTGGTAGGATCGAATTGTGTCTATGACGCTGGATAAGGAGTATGATGTGGCTGTAGAAGCCATCAGGCTGGTAACGCTCATTCTGCAGTGAGTGTCTATGGTCTTTTCTGCATGCAGGGATTTTATGTTTAGTCCAATCAGCTTGGGATGTTTTGGTTATACTTTGATACAACCACGGTTCATTTTGGCCTCATTAAAACCCGTTGTGATTGCCTCGTGCAGAGGAAGTGAAGACGCTTTGTCAAATGAAGACTGTGAGAACGTGTACCACCTGGTTTATTCTGCTCATCGGCCCGTGGCTGTTGCTGCTGGAGAGTTCCTTCACAGGAAGTGAGTCCACTCGTTACACGTTCTTCTCTAAACTTGTGTAGAACTCTGTTTTTACCGCATTGTTTTCTAATGTTCCTGTGCTCCTCGACTTCGTTCCCCTCCTGCAACTCTTCATCATGTCTCAGATTGTTCAGTCGCCACGACCCCCAGGCCGAGGAGGCCCTGGCTAAGCGCAGAGGAAGGAGCAGTCCCAATGGAAATCTCATTCGAATGCTGGTGCTTTTTTTCCTGGAGAGCGAGGTAACATGGAAGAATGCCCACCTTTCAGTCTGATTACATGTGATGCTTTAACTCCTCTCTGTCTGTATTTCTTCTGGCTCTGCTGGTAGATAACATCCATATGATTCTTTGTCATGTTTGCAGTCATTTCAGGCTGATTAAAAGAATGTCATTCAGCTGCCTGCATGAAGTCTCTTTCATTGTGTTCTAGCTTCATGAGCATGCAGCTTACCTGGTCGACTCGTTGTGGGAAAGTTCTCAGGAGCTGCTGAAAGACTGGGAGTGTATGACGGAACTTCTGCTGGAGGAACCCGTTCAAGGAGAAGAGAGTAAGAGCAGCTTTTTTACTCTGTTGGTGTTTGACTCCAGAAGGTTTCAGCATGGGTTTCTTCACATCACAGATGAAAAAAGAGATGATGCAATAAAATCTAGATTCTTGAACCTTAATCTCCTTTGGCCCCTGTCTGTTTCTGAGCTTGCTGATGTTTTGTGTCTCCATATATCTTGATTCTTTTCTGACTACCTGTCTCTGCAGTGTTATCAGACAGACAGGAGAGTGCACTGATCGAGCTGATGGTGTGCACCATCCGACAAGCTGCCGAGGCACACCCTCCTGTTGGCAGAGGCACTGGCAAACGAGTGGGTTATCTACAAACAGCTTATTTACTCTAACAGGACTCAGAGATTTTAATTCATTAAATCAAAGTCTAGGTTTTGTGGTTTCAGGTCAGATTTTTTAAGATTGAGTCTTCTGTTTTGTTCAGCTTTGTATAAGGCAGCACATACCGTATTCTCCACCGTACACGTCGCACCACCCTATAAGTCGTATCAGTCCAAATATGTCTAATAAAGTGGAAAAATCCATAAATATGTTGCATCTATTATGCGTCACCGCTGATAACCTGGAAATGTGGGCCGGTGTTGTGCCAAAAATCATTTGGCTGCCAAATGGCGGCCGCAGGAGCGTGCACGGGGGGACTTTAACAAGAATTTAAGAAGATTAATACTTAAAAGCAATTATTTGTTTGCTCGAAATTATATTAAAGTGTCCAAAAAA